TACTATTAAGAAAAAAAAAAGGAAAAAAATCAAGGGATATAATCCATTTTTTAAATTCTTACAAATAAAATTCTTTATTTTTTTCTTATTAAAGGGAGATAGCCAAATATTTATTTGCGTTCGAAAATGCCCGTTCAATATTTTTTTTATAAAAGAAAAAGGAATTAAAATAGCTTATGGCTGTTGTTTGTTTTAATTCGGAGTGGGAGATAATCATAAACGACCTCTGAAATTGAATTCCACGTTTACAGACAACTAAAAATGATTTAAAGCCTGTATGCATGTAATGGCGAATAAATAATTGACTAGTTCGTTGCCTAAAACCAGACTAAAAAATTACATATAAAATACTTATTGTTTTTAATCTGAATTTTAAATAAAGACACACACAGCTGTCTTAAGAATAAACTGCTCTTAAACTTATAAACTATTATAATTAGCATGGGATGTGCAGAATATTTAAAGGTTATGTACAGGCATTCTTCACTATAAATAGGCCATAATAAAAAAAAACTTAGTCGGTTAGAAAAAAAACAACAACAACACATAAGACAATTTTAAAGTGCACAATAATAAATTAGTAACGTAGGTAATAACATTTGTAAATTAAATGGCCTTGCTAATGTGTTATAGATCAGCACATATAGGCTTCTGTAAAATCAGGTGTAAAATAGGTGTAAAATCAGCCAAGTTCTATTTCAGGTTGTTTTTTTCTGAAACAGTTATTAACAAACAAAACAACTCACATTAGGCAAAGATTCGTTCCTCATACACATACGACATAAAAAAATGTCCGTTTCTCTAGCGGTAGAATATGGTCAGTAAATGTACTCCTTTCGTATTATATGTTAGCATTCTAAACATTCTAATTAGTTGAAGACTTGAAAAAAATAGAAACGTTCGTTGTTACGTGGTTAACAACAAAAAATTCGCCCGATACAAATGTGTATTTATTATAATCAGTATTATTAGAGGCACTCGCCATCAAATAGTTAACTTTTTAAAACTAAAATAAATTGCAATTATTTTATTTATGATTTACTATTCCATCGATTATGGCAACTATCTGAACTATTGCATGCTAATTACTAAGTTAAACATTTTAATGAATGCCTGAATAGTACATATTTGTTTGCAGTTGTCTATTAATATATATATATATATATATATATATATATATATATATATATATATATATATATATATATATATATATATAATTATTTGTTGCAGATTTCCAATAGATATACTACAATCAAACATGGCAGATACCAATAAGAGCTCAATGACTAATGAAAATAAATTTTTAGACATTTCTCCAAATGTTTATGAACCTTTGATGGATTTCATTAATTGTTTCCTTATTCATACTATATCTTTATTCGGTGTTGCTGGAAATATCCTCACCATTATCATCTTAGTCCACAACGGGTTCAAAGTGTCAACAAATGTTGCTTTGGCAGGTCTGGCTGTTTCAGATTTGTTTTATTCGATAACACAAAGCCTTTATCGGTTACCGGCTATTCTTGTGAAATTTGACTTTAATTTGGCAAACAAGTTTGATGCTTATTATCGCGTTTACATTTTCATATGGAACCAGTATGCTTCTACTATCAGCATAGAACTTGTTGCAGTAATAGCATTGGAAAGGATGATTGCTGTTTGCTTTCCTTTTAAGGTTTCTCAATTAATGACACCATTTCGAATGTTCTGTATTGTGATTACAGTATATTTGATTGTAGTGCCTTTATTTATCCCATACACATTATACGTGTCAATAAAAGAAATACAAGCAGGTGCAAACAACACAATGTATGGTGTTTCACTTAATGAATTTTATTTTAACAATATTAACTTCTATGAAATATACCGCAAATATGTTTTGTTGAGCACAAATGCCATTTTACATACAACCATAATCCTCATTTGCTCGGTCCAGATAATTGTGAAGCTAACAAATTCAAGCGAAAATGTAAAACGAATATCTTCAACTTCTGTTTCAGTAAAAAGAATTAAAGATTTAAAATCAATTAAAATAACTTTATCCTTATGTTTCCTTTTAGTAGCTTTGGTTTTGATTCCCTCAAACACTGTAGATATTTATTTCACGTATGCTTCGAATGTGTTCATCACTTTTAGGTTTTATTCTATGATCATTTGCACGTTGCAAGTTATAGTTCAAATAAATGCTTCAATAAACTTTATTATTTATGTAACCTTAAACTCAAAGTTTTCTAAAACATACAAAAATTGTTTCGTGTTTCGAAAACAAAATAAGCAGCTGTGAATAACAAAGTTGAATATAATACAAATTAAAATGAGTGCTGCCTAAATATGTTAAAACCCCTAACAGACAGCTTTCGATCCATTTCAGGAGTATTCAATTATAATTTACGAGCTGACCCGCGGCGTATCATACGCCACTATTTAGTTGTTTTATTTTCTACTTTTCAGTACTTAATAGTTAGTGAATTCGACACTACCCTTCCTTTCCCCTCCACCCGCCACCGTGAAAGCAGCCGTCCGTTTACGGACGACAATGAAAAGATCAAGCAGAACTTCTTACCTCTCCTTAGTTTCAAATCGTTCAAAAGCTAAATGATCTGCTTCTAATAGCCGTTACTGATTTGACCCGGCTCTACGATTGTAGATTTTCGTGATTTTCTTTTACTTTTAATTCGGCGCCCCACGTTTTTCATTTTTTGTCATAATGCGTACGCATAGAGTGATCGCTTGCATTATTGTGATGTATAGCATTTATTTTCTACTTTTTAGTTCAATCAGAAAACGTGGGTTTTTTAATTTTTTTAAATAATAAATATTTAAAAATCAAGTTCAATATTCTTATAAAACGTTTAATAAACTGATACTTGTTCATTATTTATTAAAACTCTTGTCAGTATACTTGTGTTGCTTTAGATTATTTATAATAACCGTTTCAAAATTATCTGATTAAACAAAGAGTAATTTACAAATATATTAAAAATTTCAAGAAAAACATGCTGCCGTTCTTTATTTTACATGCTGGTAAAGAGATAGTAGCCTGTTTGAGAAAACATGCATGTGTTGTACTTTATATATGATGGTGGTTGGGGTAGATAGTATACATGTGTTTGTGGCGTGACATTTTTGTGTAAAATGCATAAGTCAATAGGGTATTAAGTTTGTTTAAGTTTCATATAGAAGCAATATCAAATGAAATGTCAGTTTGTAAGATTACGCCTACATTGTAGTGTGTTTAAATCGATGTTTATGTTTGTTTTTGTGTTTCTATGTGTGTAAGTTTTTGGGGTATCCTTAAATAAATATATTTAGTGATAACTGTATGGGCGAGGATACGCTCGAAATTATTTGAGAGGCCCGTTATTATTTGAACTATTTAACTATAGAGGTCGCCTCACCCTAGAGAGCTCGAATCCGGGTATAAATTAATAGAACATCCTCGAATGTTCCTAGCTCTGATGGGTACCTAACTCTCGTTAGCAAAAGTAAAGGAGGTTGGGCATAGTGCTGATCACACTATCGCCACATATTTCGAGATAAAAGAAATAGGTGAACTCTTCGTAACTTGCTCTATGGACCGTCAGATTTGAAAAAGGGAACTATTTACTAAATATTAAATTGTCATCTATTTATTTAAAATCACAAGCTAATCAAACCTACAATGACTTGCTAACATTTTTTACACAACAAAATTGTTATCGGCATTGTAAAATCTCATCAGATCACCCTTAGTTTGCGCTTTATTTTTCGGCGGTGGAAGATATACATTAGCAGAGTGCTAGTTCGCTTTCGGTTGCTTTAATGAAATGGAGTTATGTCGTTATTTTGCTTTCTCATTCGCGTAATAGGAAACATATGTTTATAGCTTACCTGTAGAATATATATTTACATGTAAAGCGATTATTTAAGTTATTTACACTTTGTTTTTTCGGAATTTATTTTTTCACATTCTTTTTTTGTAAAAAACGCAACGAATTTCATAAAGCAAATAGATGCAGATGATTGCAGCATAGAAGAAAATCATTATCAATAGCTTTAAAAACACGCAAATGGACACTAAAAAGCAGAAAAACAATGCAGGACAAAACAAATGTAATGATAAATAAAGAAATATTTAAAAGTATTTTTGATACACTTTATACTTTACGCAATATTAATATTAATTACAAATAAAACAAAAAATACAACGTAAATACAAACGCAAAAATAAACGCAAAAAAATAACGCAGATCATAAACACGAACTTAAATGCAAAAATAAAAGAATAAGTGCTAAAATATATCCCGGCGCGTCGAATCGCAGGCATTGATTTAGTTAAGGACTATAGTAAACCTTCTTATCCATAGTCTATCGTAACGTTTAAAACGTTTTTTTTTAAATAATAATATGTGCACAATTTTGATATAATGACTTGTATACTTCTTGCTTATTATAAACCTAGTCTATTAATTTGTTTTTATTTTAAATGTTTACCTTTTTAACTCGTATTTTGATGCGTATCGCTTCTAAGACAAAACAGCTAAATGCATGGCAATATTTATCTATGAAAACAGATCAGGGATATCAATAAGGGTCATCCATTTAGGATGTACCAACCACCCTGGACACTACACCCCCCCCACACACACACCATGCCAGTCCACTAAAGTCGCTTTTCTGGACCCCACCCTTACCCATTCCGTGTGGGCGTCATAAATGGAAAACCCCCTAAATGTCATGTTACTTGAATAGGAACCCTCAGAGTTTTAGAATAATAAAGTCAAAGGTAAAAAAAAAAAATTAAAATAAATTTAAATTGTAGTTAGATACAAACAGTGTAAAATAAATGAATGAATAAACATTTATATCGCATTAGATGTTTAGAAGGAATGCCATAAACCACACATAATGGCTAATGTAAATGTTTAATATAGCAATAATTTTGCAATAACACAACTATGGTGTTGATGCCATGTAAAAAAAAAAATTATGCATTTGCAGTTGTTTTTTTGGCACACGAAAACAGTTTTTTATAAGTTTTATAAAACTTAGCATTGAAAGTGACGTATATTAAAAAGTTTATAGAAGCATTTAACTGATAAATTATTTGTAAAAAAAAATAGAATTAATGATAAAAGCCTTTTACCAATAGATAAATTATCGGTGTACGAGATGTATAGATCATATCCGTTTGAGGGAATCAAAACAAAAAATACTAAACAAAAACAAAGCGATAACGTTGTTTTAATGGACCTTAAATCTTTCGTTCTTTTTTCACTAGCAGATACAGACATTTTCTTTAGGTTTCTTGACGACAATGTTAATTTGAATATAATCATTACTGAGCATACAATAATAAAAACCGTCGGTATACCTGCATTTACTGTAAGTTTAAAGAATTTTCGAAACATTTCGAAAAATGTTATATTATTGCGATAAAATAGTGTATTTGTATAATAAGTTATTGTAATATTATTTCCAATATTAATTTGGGTGACACACATAGTTAGAGATTCTAGAATATATTGTGGTATTGTAATAGTTAATACTGCAGCAATAATGCAGATCATACGGTTTGGTGATATTAGTCTTGAAACTTTAAAAGGAAGCCAAACAGCAATAAACCTTTCTAATGTTATCACTGCAACAATATCTATACTTATTGTCACAGCACATTGATTCCACATATAGATATTCGCCAAAAGGTAGGAGAGAACATTATAAGCCAATTCGAAATTGAACAAATAGATCAGTGATGGAATTTTTATTAGTGACTGTGTTACTGAAAAAAATAAATCAGATACAGCCAACACGAAGAGTGCAACATTTGTAGCAACCTTGAAACCGTTGTAAAGTAGAATGATGATTGTCAGAATATTTCCTACAATCCCAAACAAACACATGACGTGAATTAGAAAACAATTTAAAAAATTTGCCAAAGCGTCAAATGTTTCTGTAGAAATCTCCAACACCTGTCTTTCAGATATGATGTTTCCTTCTTTAAAAAAACTTTGATTTTCACTAGCCATAGCAGAATTATACAGTGACTTGCTGAAAAAAAAGGAATGCAATTGATTATTATGGCCATAATCTTGTATTGCATATCTTTTACCAAATGTAATTGCTTATTAGGACATAATATATGTAAATTAGTTATTAAAAAGAGAATGCAATAAACAATTTGAAACTCGATAAACTGATTTCTGTTTCGTTAACGTTTCTGTAAAAAGTTATGCGGTTTTGTTTTTGACGATAACAAATGTTAACAAAGCTTCTTAATAAATTAATACCTATGCATTTCTCTATCCTAATAGTTCGTTTAACATATATGGACACATTTCTAGAACTTCTACTGAAAACGTCTGAAAATGTTTTTCACACTAAATGATCCTTTAAATATGGATGTAACAGTTTAAAATGTGTTAATCCAGCAAAATAAAATAAAATGATATATATATATATATATATATATATATATATATCTTTTTATGTGTCTTTTATGTATTAGCATGAACCTTTGGGAAGCTGTTGGTAATGCTCAGGGGTCTTTTTCTGCGATGAAAAAAAAAATTCGGAGGGGTGGTGTCCCGGGAGTAGGCTGCGGTTTGTTGCCCGAAGTTCCCCAGCGGCTATCTTAGCACATTGGATCCTTAACTTAATTAAAGGTCAAACTGCAACTATGATGCCTTCATTTGTTTTAAACAGTACACTACACTAATGACACGGTGGTGTCCGTCGGCGCCGCAGCGGCTACCTAAGCACAAGGGTAAGTGGTAGGACTAGAATCAAATATCTAACTGCAACTTTGGCGGTCTCCGGCGATCTGATGACCGGGAGCGCCCTGGCTCCCCTATGTTCGCTAAGGCTCCGACAGTAGTTTTAAAGAGCACACTGCACTAACACGACAGTGGATGATTAAGGTACACTAAAGGCTTTCATACAAATCGCGCTGGGCGTCTAAGTGGTAATTCGGCCAACAATAACGATCAAAGAAATATAAGGTCGACATTGTTTAAATTAAAATAACTCAGGTCAAGTAAACAAGGCAACACATTTATACATACACGATGATGAAACTCATAAAATATTGCGTATTTCTCGTGTCTAGTACTAGATTGCGACAATGAGCGACGTGTACGCTAGTTATTTATACACTAGTTATGAAATGTCGACTTTAAATATCACAATTGTTTAAACACTCATCTACAGTTCAAGTACCAATGTGATAAACTGCTACACCTGTTTGCCATGAATACTTCGTAATGACAACGAATGCCGAGTTTCTCTAGCCTTTGATACGACGTTTAGCATATTTCCTTACAACTTACACATTTATTTTTCGAGTTTAGCTTTTTATCTAATACATTTAACCTTATCATAACATTCTACACCACAATAAAGCAACATTCAGTAGTTTTGTGTTAACATTTACGCTTCAGTTGGCATGGAATAAACTGTAAATTTGATTAGATTTAGATGTACTCGATTGTTCGGTTTAACTTTGCAATCATGTTAACATTTAGGTTTGCCGTTCTGAATAATCCTTAAGGCAAATATGATATATATATATATATATATATATATATATATATATATATATATATATATATATATATATATATATATTTATATATATATATATATATATATATATATATATATATATAAAAGATGTATTTTGCTTTTAGATTAATCTTTATTTAAATTTCAAATAGTTTTTTAACGACAATTTCATATTATTTTCTGAAAGGTAAATAGTCGCAAGATGAGCTAACACTAGTAACGTCTGTGCAAAGCTACGCTGTCTATTCCCGATGCGATGCTAGACCTGTTTTATAAGCATGCCCTCCTAACCATCGCACTCAATTTACTGTGGCTGTAAACTGCAGCGGGAATTTCCATCGATTTAGAAGTAGCATAACACTAGCCGCGAACGGAAAACACGTCAAACGATGCTCTTAAAACACAAGCGGAGAAATGAAAGAACAAAGTTTCTTCCAGGCATCTCGTCGGAGGGGCAAAGCTCCCCCCTTCCAAAAAAAAATTTACCGCCCCCTCCCCCCGAACGAAATGAAATTTATATAATTTATATAGAAAATATATACTTTTTACAGTGTCCGCCCCCCCCCCCCCCCCCGAAGAAAGTCTACCGACCCCCCCCCCCCCCCCGAAAGGCCCAATGTTTTTAAAATCATGTAGGATTTTATTATAATAAATAGGGTCCATTACATGATGAAGTACTGATGTGTAAAACTGAAAACTGTCAAAATCTCATGCGAGTTTTGTGTATAAATAAACCATTCTTAGAGATATTAAATACATGTTCGAAAAATATGCCTAATACATTACTTTTTAAAATCTATATCAATTCACATACCAACGATGAAAACTATTATTAAAGGTAACAAGCAGACAAGTCAAACTGATGATGTAAATTACATGTGTGATGCATGTAATAAAATAATTAAATAAATTACTACCTTTTACTGGTAATAAATTTCATCTGGGTTTGAGTAATTGTTTTAAAAAGTTGACAATATTTTAGTTTCGTCCATTGCGAATTGCGTGAAAAAAAATGTTTTCTAAATTCGTTGGATTCATTAATTCTGTTGTGATTGCGATACAAAAGTGCCAAAATTGGTAAGTTATTTTTGTTTTTTGTGTAAACTTACCCCTGTGATTTCCGTATATATGGAAACATATATCGGCAACAAATGATTGGTTAGATTGTGTGTTTTATTTTATCCTATTGTATGTACTTAAGAATATTTATGAGAAACTAAAAATGTCGTATATAATTACGTAGTTAGTTATTTATAAAACTTGTCGGCCTTTTGTTTTGTCGGCGTTTTGGATGTCGGCCTTTTGGCAGTCGGCTTTTTGTCTTGTCGGCCTTTTGTTTTGTCGGCCTTTTGTCCATGTCGGCCTTTTTGTCCGGATCCCGATACAGATGCTTTGCCATTAAAAATAACTTCAAAATAGAAAAAAAATAATGCAATAACTGTTGATGATTGAAACCCATTATTAAAAATCGTGACAATATTTCCAAATATTTCAAACACAAATAATTATTGAAATAAGAAACACATTACAAATTAGAGGTATTACAATATATAAAACATATATATATATATATATATATATATATATATATATATATATATATATATATATGTTTTCAGAAATATTATCATAAAAGTAGCTATTGTTTATGACACCATTCATTAAAATTAGAGTTATATAGATCATGATTTCAAAACAGTACAATGCACTATGCACTAAGAACAATTGGGACTACTTGTCACTCTTAAACTCCATGAATCTAGTTTTCTCATTACTTTTTCAAATGTTTGGTAGCATGTGATACAACTACCATCCAAAATAATACAATACTCTTCATAAATGTCATAAGCCATTGATATATACTTTAGGATATACACGATTAGCTTTCATGTTTAGCAACAAAAAAAGAACTAGTTTTTAATGCGGTTTAATACTTATAATTTAAAAAAAAAACTCTTTTACACAATTATGTTAAACATCATTTTTTTTTATAATTATCACTTTAATATTTATGGCAAAATACTTGTGTCAGTGGATTCCGATTTAATTGAAGTAATTTTCTAAGCAGATTGCAAGCTACGTGTAATATTACGAAATGGGTATTACTTATAAATTACCTACCGATGTTCCTAAGTTTTTCTTTGTAGATGCCTCAGAGTAATTAATTGTTGCACGTATTTTGTTAGTAATAGTGTGTTTATTGATTACATGACTCACTGTAAGAAAAATCCATTGTTAAAACATAAATGGGTGGTAAATAGCAACGTTTAACTTACTGAAAATCTACTTCTTCTTTGTCAACGAGTTTGTTATCTATATTTTTAATTTTTCCTTTTAATTCAACATAATTTTGTCCTAACAATCTTTAGATATTTAAATAACGTATTTCTGCTTTTCATTTTACCATACATAATTATAATTTCCCTCAAAATTACACCATACAAAACGAAAGTGTATACGTTTAGTTAGCCTTTTAGTTAAATTTATTCCGTTAATAAAAATTATCTTGAGAAACATAAATAAAACTACATCTATAAAGAACGGTTTATATTTTAGCATCTTGCTAATTTTGTGCATGCACCTAGGTAACTGATTCCGACATATAGAATATCTGCGCCAGCCGAGTGCTAAAAACTGACCGAGTGTGAAAATCTTTTTTGAGCTGTATATAAAAAAAAAATCCCACTTAATATCAGCTACTGTGATAATACTAGAAATAATACACTTTTAATTTTTTAATGTATGTTTATTACAAATATGAATGATTTTTTAATTGGTGTTTAGTTGTTATGTGGAATGGCTGTTAATTTAAGTCTAAGCTGTTTTTTCTCTCCTTCAAAAAAAAAAGATTAATTGCACGCCAACAAAATAATTAAAACTGTATAGGCTTCGTCGATTTGATAACAAATATTATATCACAGTTAATATTTAACTTAATGTCTACAATTTTATTGGGATAAGGATAATACGTTCTATATTATTATTATTTCAAAGCATTTCTGGTACTATCATTGCTTCATTGCTTTTAAATCATATTTATTAAAAAAAAATTGCATTGACCCAGACTTATAACACTGTATAAATTGTGCTAACTAAACATGTCAAGTATTAGTAATATACAGCATTATAATAATTTAATATTTTAAAGGGTATGAATTATCCACGTTCTCTATAATAATAATAATAAGCATTGCTTCTTATCAGGCCAACGACAATATAAAATCTTTACTGTCTTCTTTATTACCCATCTTATAGCGTGCAGTCTATTTCGAGAATTCCATTTTGCTTAGTCTAGGGCGTTCCATTTAAAGACATTTCTTGATATATTCATCGACGGCTTCATAGTGGTACAAACGAACAGACTTCACCTTTGCTAGATTTCGTCTTTATTCGATCTTTGGAATTAATCTTTTAGAGTTTCCCTTGATTGAATAAAAGGACCGTCTCTTTTAGTGTTTCCTTATTTGACGTTAACTCGACGTAATTTATTATTATGCAATTATTTATAGCATTCAAATAATATGTAATTTTTAATAATAATCTTATTTCCCAACTCAACAACTAGATTTATTGATGTTTAATCACACAATTTGTCCCTAAATTAATAATCGCTATGAACTTAACGTATGACAAAACGGTATATAAACCGTCACAAATTTCTTATTGCGTACTAATAATGACAGTATTTGGTATGCAATATGAGAAGAAATAACTTGACTTTGACTTGACTTAGTCCTGTTTGCTCCTTATGGAACATAGGGCCTCCACAATTTTCTTCCATTTCTTTCGATCGCCGGCTATTAATTGTTTCATCTTTTGAGAAGAAATAACTGATACAATCTTATTCATTTAGGATTTTAAATGTGTTTTATAATTATCTGTTTATAAACCTAAAGCCATATCAGCGTCTCGTACCAAATGCCGATTGACTATTTAAACTTACACAGTTCCAAATAACTTTATTGTTCAACTTACATATTTTATTTAAGAAAAAAAAAATCAAAAATGCAAAACCTCAACAGTTCTTATACTGAAGCCAAACTTTTTGATGTTTCTGATGCATTTATCAAAGACACTGTATTTGTATTTAATTGTTTAATTATTCCATTTGTTTGTGTGAAAGGCATTGTGGGAAACAGCCTTACAATTATCATTCTTGTTTACAACGGCCTAAAAGACACGACCAACGTTATTTTAACAGCATTGGCTGTTGCAGATCTTCTCTTTTCTATAACACAGTTATGGTTTCAACTAGTTGATATAGTGAGCAGGATTGATACAATTGTATTTTACTATGTGAACTCATATTTTTTTTCATACTTCTTTGGATGG